TGTGTAGAGACGCGCTGACGGAGTTTTCCGGGATAAAACTAAAGGCTGGCATGCTGCTGAAGTACATGGGGAGCAAGGCGTGGTTAGCTCCTCACATGGACCGGCTGCTGGGGGACGTCGCCGTGCTTCACTCTCCCTTCTTCGGTTCTGGAAAGCTGGAGTCCTACCTCGCCGCCCGGCGTCCGGGCCTGGAGGTGCGTGGCGTCGACGCCTTCGAGCCCGTCGCAAACCTGCACCGCTGCTACTTGAGGCAATACCCGGTCTTCCTGCGCTCCTTGCTGCGCCTGGTGGGGCGCAGGGTGGACAGGCGCTGCTACTTCGGGCACCTTCTGCCGGGCGCTCAGAGAGGCCGCGCCGGGCGCCGGGCCGCCTGCGCGTACGTCCTGCTGCGCAACAGCTTCTCGGGAAAGTGGGGCTCCTTCGCACAGCAGAGGCCGCTGGCACTGAGCAGCGTGCGGCGTCTGCAGCCACCCTGCAACGTGACCGTGCGGCGCCAGGACGCGCTGGCCTATCTACGCGCTCTGCCCTGCCTGGCGCACCAGTGCATCTACGCTGACCCTCCTGACATTTTCCCCGGCCGCAGCATGAACTACTATGGTACGAGAGGGGGCCACGACCTGGTCTTTCACACGGAGCTGCGAGACGCACTCTTCGCGAGTGGCCTGCCCTTCGTCCTGAGCGTCAACGACGTGCCGGACTCCATCACAAGCCTGTGCTCGGGCAAGAACAGTTCCAAGCCCGAGCTGCTCGTAATGCACCGGGGCAATCCTGCTGTCAGCACAGGAATCGTTGAAGCAATCCTGTTGCCACAGCAGGATTGACAAGAGCAATCCTGTGCCCAGCCCAGGATTGACGGCAGGGCGTGTGAGTGGTAAAAAACACTCCGACAGCGGTATGGCGAGGAGCAGGGCGCTGGCAGACATTCGGCGCTGGCCCGGTGATGGGTTTTTGGGCAAAATACCGAAGTCGGAAATCCGACCTCGCTGAGAGACCGAAGTCGGAAATCCGACCTCGGTCTACCGAAGTCGGATTTCCGACCTTGGCGCAGGCTCGGCAGGAGTTTTCTATGCCGGGGTGGCGCGGCCGGATGGAGGCTTCTATGCCAGGCGCGGCAGGCACCGAACCCTCACAGTCCCCCGGACCCTTGCTAAGTGTGCTATATGTGCTATATGGGTCTCACAAGGCAAGCCACTGAACATCCACTCTCCCCCGGGTCCTTGCTATATGTGCTATATGTGCTATATGGTATAGAAGCCTGTATACTATACACATAGCATCTCCAACATGTACCAAATATGCATTGTATAGCAAATATAGTACATTTTAAAGCGCGTACAGAATAATATAGCACATATAGTACATATAGCAAGGAGCTGGGGGAGAGTGGGGGTTCAGCGGCTTGGCGTGTAAGACCCATATAGCACATATAGCACATATAGCAAGGAGCCCGGAGACTGTGAAAATTCAGCGGCTTGGCGTACACGCGGCACCGTGCCGCCGCAAATCGGGTTGTCCGCGTTGTCCGCAGTGGGAGGTAGAATCCCCCACTGCGGACAACCCTAGCTCTCTCTTTAGAGGGCGTTTCCCAAATGGCTTATATTCTACCTGAGAGGCTCCCAGCACTCGTCCGTCCAGCATTTGACCTCGTCCTGCGAAGGATTCGAAGTCTAAAACGCTGCGTGCAGGCGTGTGGCTGCAAAATAGTGACCCCTAGATATGCGCCGCAATTTGGCTCCAGGTTGCATTTCAAGCGATGTCAACCTTTGCCAAAGGAAACCCCTTTTCCCTTTTTTTTGGGGACCCCTTTTTTTGGGACCCTTTTTTTTTTCTCCTTTTTTTTTGTTTTTTTCTTAGCCCTGCAAAGGTTGGCTCGCTTGAAATGCAACCTGGAGCCAAATTGCAAGCATATCTAGGGGTCACTATTTGCAGCCACACGCCTGCACGCAGCGTTTTAGACTTCGAATCCTTCGCAGGACGAGGTCAAATGCTGGACGGACGAGTGCTGGGAGCCTCTCAGGTAGAATAGAATCCATTTGGGAAACGCCCTCTAAAGAGAGAGCGCCCCCGTGCGAGCCCGGGCGCCGCCGTCCGCGGCCTCCGTGATCTGCTGTCGTTGTCTCGCCCAACTTGCCATTCTTTTTTTACGGGTCCAGTTTTTTTTGCTCGGCCGCGCGTTCTCCGGATCTGTGCCCGTATGGTTGGGGAGCTTGTTTCGCACGGTTTTGCGCTGAAAAATGCTATTCTTCTTGTCCGTATGTCTATATACGGACGAGAAGAATAGCTCGTTTTGCACGATTTTTTGCATGGCATGACATTTGCTTGATTTTGGCATGACATGATTTTGCATGGTTTTTTTGCGTGGCGTGTTTCTCACGTGGGTCTTGTCGAAACATGTTCTGGTGCAGGTCTTGGTGGCGAGCAATCAGATGAGAACTTTGAAGGTTGAAGTGGAGAAGGGATTCCATGCGAATGTCTCAAACACTTGTTTGTTGCAGCGCGTCGGCCCAGATCAGACGGCATCAGCAGCATCAGCATCGGCAACCCTCGGCAACCCTCGGCAACCCTCGGCCCGGATCAGACAGCATCAGCAACCCTCGACAACCCTCGGCAACCCTCGGCAACCCTCGGCTCGGCAACCCTCGGCAACCCTCGGCCCGGATCAGACAGCATCAGCAGCATCGGCAACCCCTCGGCCCCTCGACCTCGGGAGCGCTCCGCGATGGGAGATCATGGTGCGGAGGCCTTCGCCTTTTTTTTTTAGGTATCTGCTTTCTTCCTCTTGCCCAGGACGAGACTTGGGGGGCATGGCGTCCTGACGTAGGGGGCGCAGGCACCGAGGACTTTCGCCGTTCCGTCGTGTCCGAAAGTTGTTCGCTGCCAGGTTGGTTTGGTGAGGATTGGAGCGCAGGCGCCGAGGACTTTCGCCGTTCCGTCGTGTCCGAAAGTTGCTCGTTGCCAGGTTGGTCTGGTGAGGACTGGGGCGCAGGCACCGAGGATTCTTTTTCGCCGTCCCGTCGTGTCCGAAAGTTGCTCGTTGACAGGTCATGGAAACTGGAGGGGGGACGATCATGCTCAAGGCTCGGAAACATGTTCCTCTTGCTTTTGCGTGACCGTTTTGATGTTCTTTGGCCAGGTGATGAGGAGCGCTGGAGAGGAAAGCACGCTCACAGGCAAGGCGGCGACTCGTTCGTCTTTTCGTCCACACACCTGTGGCAGGAGAGGCGGCGTCAGCCACCAGGGCAGGAGGGAGGCGAGGGCCTCCAAGCAGGTTCAGGAGGCTCCTGCCTCAGCTCAGCGTGTTCTTGTTCGTGTAGCCACCCTCCCTACGACTGCGCCCAGGCCCACAAGGATGCAGTTCTGGACAGGATGAACGCCGAACTTGCTGGCGCTCGGGATAGAATCAGCACCTTGGAGCTTCAGAACAAAGAGCTGTTGCAGGAGAAGCTGGATTTGCACGCTAGTGTTGCTTCGTTTCGTGCCCTGAATGAGAAACTCGGCGCAGATCTGGCGGAGTTCAAGGCAGCCAGCCACGTTGGCAACCAGACCGTGGAGAGCCTTCGCGTCGAGATCGCGCGGCTGACTGCAGAGCAGGCCTGAATTGCAATTCTTCCATGTTTGTGGAGTTGCATCTCTTTGTGTCTGTTTGGTGCAGGGACGCAAGAGGAAATCTCAGCCTGACAGCAGCTCTGTCGCCAAGGCTTGGCGCAATCGCCATTTCACTGTTGCTAGTTCCGACCTTCAGGAAGACAAGAAGACAAAGCACGCCGCTCAGGGACGTCAGGCGCGAGGAATGCGTTCTTTTTGAAGTATCCTTCCACTCCGACTTTGGCAGGCTTTGGAAACTACGTTGACCTGCAAGGCAAGTTCTTTTGTTTTCTAGAGGCTCAATTTCCATGGTGCAACACTTGCGTTCCGGAAAGGCGCTTCCGAAGGGGCCGTTCGAGCCCCCGCAGTACAAGAAGACTGGGCGAGGACATTTGCTCTTCTCGGCAGCCACATTTCTTTTTTTGCACCGCGACAGGACCTTGAGCCGTCAGGTAGCTGCAAGCACGACTGGGTCGGGAACAAGTTCGAGCAGTGAAAAAAGTCTGCGACCAGGGTGGGGTAGGGGGTTGTGGGGCGCTGAACAAGCGCGGCACTGAGCAAGTGCCTGTAGGTAGGTGCGCTGAATAAGCGCGGCACTGAGCAAGTGCCTGTAGGTAGGTGCGCTGAATAAGCGCGGCACTGAGCAAGTGCTTGCCAGTAGGATCAACGAACGTGTTGATACTGGTTAGCCCAACGGCCCTTAGTACGAGTTCGCCCAACGACCCTTAGTGCGAGTTCGCCCAACGGCCCTTAGTACTGACTTGCCCAACGGCCCTTAGTACGAGTTCGCCCAACGGCCCTTAGTACTGACTTGCCCAACGGCCCTTAGTACTGGCTCGCCCAACGACTCTTGATACTGGCTCGCTCACTTCCCGGAGCCACAGATCCTACTGAGACAAGTGAGACAAGTGAGACAAGTGAGACAAACACGAAACCTGTCGTTTTTTGCTGTTTTTGAGCAATTGAGACAAGTGAGACAAGTGAGACAATCACGACACCTGTCGATTTTGCTGCTTTTGAGCAATTGAGACAAGCGAGACAAGTGAGACGAACACAAGGGTGGCAGGTTCGCCTGTTTGTGAGCAATTTTGCTGAGATATTCGGACAATTGCGACAAGTGAGACAAATGAGACCACACAGAACTGTCCCGAAAAACGGTGCCAAATGGCTTGTCTCACTTGTCTCACTTGTCTCAGCAGGACTTCCCTGGGCCTGGAAAAAAAACTGTCTTTGGTGGCGACTTGTCGTGGTGAAATGTTTCAAAAAACGTTTTTTTTCCGAATGGATTGGATGACGTGAAGAGAGCCACGGCAATGTCTCAATGGGGCTCTTACCGGTCGAATCGCAAGGGACACAGACGTCTCACGCCGCAGAGACTTACTCAATTCGATCAGTAGACGAGCCACAAGGTAGGCATGGAGCGTTGGTCCCAACTACAGGAGATGGTGATCGGCGGGGATGCCCGAGCTGATGAGATCTGCCAGCTGCTGACGAACGAGGCCGACACGGACCTGCGCAGGTCGGTGCTCCTGCAGCGACTCGTGGACGTGCTTGGAGAGGGCTTCACTGCGTTGAGTGCACAGATGCAGCTGCAGTGGATGCTGTTGGAGGACGCCGTCGCCTCCGGTGACTCGACAGCGACACACTTGCTCGGTTTTCTGGCAAGTGCACGGGGGTGGCTCGCCTGACAAAGGGTGGGTGTCAAGGATTGGCGCAACATCTCGCCAGGAGTGGCGGAGATGTTGATGCGCGATGTGCCGGAGGCGGTCAAAGTCTATGACGACAATTCCGAGGAGGAGGAACAGGGTGTGGTGGCGTGCCCGTGGACAGAACAGGCTGAGGCCGCGGAGTTGGAGGCGGCGGCAAATATCTCACACGACTTCGTCGACGAGGATCCGATTGTGGAGCAGCCTGATGACGATCACCTGGACGAGCAGGCGGATGCGAACGAGGAGGTGCCCCAAATCCTCTTCGACAGGGTCAACCCAGTGGTCGCCATCGGCAAAAAAGGCAGGCGTTTCTCCGGTCACGTGGAGGCTCCCAAGAAGCCCAGGAGCAGCACGACCTTGTCAATCAGCTCCCTCTCTCGCGCAGTGTTGAGGGCGTACTGCAAATACTCCACGGGGCGCGCCGTCCGTTGCCGCAGCTGGGCAAGTAGCTGGGTGTGGTTCTGGCAATCAGCCTGCCGCATGGCAGCCATCTCTGCTGCGAACCGCTCGGCAAACTGCTCTGTTGCGAACTCCCCAAGTCGGTGCGTGCGCTTCGACCCACCGTACAGAAGACGCAGGAAGAGCTGTTTGGCCGCGGTGCGGTCTGCATGTGTGTCGCGGAGGATGCGCTCCCTGTAAGTGGCAGTTCTCCAAGTCAAAGACGAAATGCCCCGGTAGTCTCGAGCGAAGCAGTGACCGGAGCGAGCCAATTCGGCTGGGCGAAGGTGCTGGTTGCGAAGTGAGCCGTGACGATCCCCAACGGGCTCTTAAACTCCTCCTCTTCCTCCTCTCCCTTCTTCTTAAAGCACGCAGCCGTCCTGGCTTTCGAGCACGACGGGCTGTTCCTCTACTGGCCGGACGAGCCGGAGAAACTACGCGGGCGCAGCGAGAGTGCGCTGTGCGGCTTCCGCTACACTGTGAAGCCGGTGATGCCGCTACGAGCGGCAGCCCCGGCCTGGAGCGCATGTTTGACCAGGTGGACTCGCGTTGGCTTGAGCACCACGGTATCGTGCGCCAAGCCTTCAAAGGTTCGTTGCAGTACCAGGCCTGTTCGGGGAAGTCGTGCTGAGGAGCCCGGCGGTTTCCAGCAAGATCCCATACTCGTTGAAGGACATCTTCAAGTTCATCGTCGACACTGGTCACAAAGCCTGGTTCAGCGCCACACTGAAAACTTGGATCCTGACTGGAGACAGCGCAATGGACTCTTTGAGGAAGGCGAGTACAGATTTCGTTGCCACGAAGCTGGAGCGAGCGCCAAGGGGAGGTGCCACGCCACGTGAGGAGGTGCACAAGGCGTTGCATGCCTTTGTCGAGAGAAACGCGCCGGTGGAGGACGGCAGGCGCCGCGAAGTCCGGTGCGGCGAGCTCCTGAAGCAACTGGGCGTCCTGGAGAAGAGGGGACGCAGCGGCGCCACGCTGGAAGGCCGCCGCAAAAACACCTACTATTTGATCTACATCTTCCCGAAGACGGGGCTCCAAGGACAGTGAGGCCAGCTTCGTTCGCTTGGTGAGTGGCGCAGAGCCTGCAGTTGGAGGCGGCAACTGAGTGAGGGGAGGAGGAGGGACATGTGCAATCAGGTACAGTGCACTATCCCTGTTTCATCTTGCAGCGAACAGAGAGACGAACAGAAAAAAAGACGGAAGCGATCGAGACGCTTGGCGCCAGCGTGAGAGCTTGTGTTCCATCGTCGACTGACTGCGCGACGCGCTCCGTCGTATCAGGGGCTCAAAAGCATTTGGATTGTGGACTGCAAGAGTTGCGCCGAGACGTTGCGACAAGCACAAACCGGCCATTTTTTTCTCATGTCAGGAAGGAGACAGCACTTTTTTTTTCTCGGAGCCAGAGAAGTCTCACTGAGACAAGTGAGACAAGTGAGACAAGTGAGACAACACAAACCCAGCGATTTTTTTGACTTTTTTTTGCATGAAACCTGCATGGAAACAATTGGCATTTTTGATTGTTTGAAACGTCCATTTTGTGATTGTTTTGCTGCATGAAACCTTGTGTTGGGACAACTGATGCAACTGAGACAAACATGAAACCGGCCAATTTGGCCGCCTTGCTGCATGAAACCTTGAGTTGAGACAATCGAGACAACAACGGAGACAAGTGAGACAAACGCGAAACCAGCCATTCTTTACCTTTTTTTTCTACCATGGAGACAGGCCGTTTTTTTTTCAGAGCCAGAGAAGTTCCCCTGAGACATTGAGACAAGTGAGACAAGTGAGACAAACACAAAACCGACCAATTTGGTTGTTTTTTTACTTGAAATCCTCCGTGGAGACCACTGAGACAAGTGAGACAAGCACGAAACCGGCGAATTTGGCTGTTGTTTTTGGTATGGAAGCCTCCGTTGAGACAAGTGAGACAAGTGAGACAAACACAAAACCAGCATTCTGTTTGCCGTTTTATTGAATTTTATTGGTTGTCTCACTTGTCTCACTTGTCTCAATGTCTCAGTAGGACCTTTGCGGCCCCAAACCCTAACGCAGGGACATTTGCACGGTTTTGCGCGGTTTGCCCATCCCCCGCTCATGTGAGTGGTCCGCCCAACCCGTTGGTTTCCCGAGCACCCCAAACCCTAACCCAAAAAAAGGAGCTGAGCAGGCTCCGGGAATTCCCCCCCAGCCTGCGCAATGCCTCGAAACCTTTTTCTCCCAGTTTTTTTCGCTCGATCAGGATCAGGCAATTCCAACTTGAGTGTGATCAAAGTTTTTTTTTGCGCCAAAACGGGTCCGACCGAGGTTCCCTGGACGCAGGGAGGCCGGGTCGTGCCTAAAAAAATCATTTTCTAAGAAGGCTAGTCGAGGGTCCTGGGCCTCGGAGGTTTCAGGAAGTCGTCCAGCTGCCTCACAGCCGCCGGCCTGCCCCGTCTCGTCAGCCGGCCCGCCGCGTTGCCGCTGCCCTGCGGCGCCGGCAGCGCCAGCTTCAGCAGGGTCTCCCGGCCCTCCGTGCTGCGGACGGTCATGGAGTCCACGGCCCCCAGCTGCTGCACGTCGCCGTACTGAGGGTTGAAGCTCCTCGCCGCGTTCGTCGGCGCTCGGAAGGCGCCCGCGTCCTCCACCGCCTTCACGCGCCGCTCGGTGAGGTCCTTGTTGTGCTGGAACTTGTCGGCGTTGTCTTGGAGGACCCTGAACTCCGTGGCCGGCTGCTTCTCCACGTCCTCGGGCGCGCCGTGCACCGTTTCGTGGGGCCGCGCGTTGTAGGCCCCGGCCGCCCGCTCGAAGTGGTTGCTCCACTGCCCGCCCTTGCGCGCCACCCTCGTGGCCAGGGCGGAACTCAGCCGTAGGTTGATGGAGTTTTATCTGACAAACTTGAGCTTAAATTCAAACTGGTTGTTTTGCAAACAAACAGTTTGTGGTGCAACACATGCAGTTGAGAGTTGGACATAGCCGAACACCGTCGTGCTTGTCTCAAACCAGGGTGGTGTGGGTGGGTTAAAATAACCCTGTGCGCTAGTGGATCTTGCTATGGGCGCTTGGCTTTCTCGCATCAACGCCGCTGCCTTGAACAATTGGACTCGTCTCATTGTGCAGTTGCGACGAATCAGGCGGTTGCAGCGCCTCTTCCACAACACAGGCCGTTTCCTGTGCGAGAACATCGCCAAGCACCTCCTTCACCAGTTGTCCCGTTTCTACCCCTTGGAGTGACCTTGCCGGCATTCTTCCATTGGGGGTTTTCGGCGGGCCGGCTAGATTGACAGATGATGGAGCAAGACAATCTTTCAGATGCTTCTGGTGGCACTGGCATGCCACTGCCTACAGACCTGGACGAGCGTGGCGTTTTTGTGGAAGACGATTTGAGCTCGCTTGGTAACCATGGGCTTTTGGAGGCAGTGCGCGAGTATGAGCAGGGCCACTTATCCACTAGCGACCAGGTCCAACAGAGGTTTGGTTTCGCAGAGACGCAGGGTGAGTCAGACATCTCAGACTTGCATCGCGCGCGCGTTGCAGACATGGCATTTGAGTCCAGACTTTGTGAGGCCCGTGTCACAGGTTTGGTTTTGCCTTGGGAGCTGCCAACCATGAACGCGATTTTTGGAACCTGGAACAACAGACCTTGCCTGTCATGAACTTCTTGCATGATGATGTACCCGGGCTTGCAAGAAGAACAGACAACCTTTTGAGCAACAAGGTCGAGCAAGTTCCTGTCCAGCCAACCAGAACAGTTTTCGAGAAGCATGTGCGGTTTGGCTCTCGCACTTCAAGGTTGGCTGAAAGTGACCAGTGGAACATTTTAGGGCAACGCTGGACAGTTGCAGTTTTGCATGCGCCCTTTGGTTCATCTGTTGGCCGCATGATAGTCGACATGGATCAAGACGACAGAGTGCAAACTGTGCTGGACTGTTTTGGAGGAAAAGCCTTGTCAACCATCCGCAAGAGGATGCATCAGATGACCAAGGTTTTCCAATGGCGGGAGTCCACGGAGTTCGACGAGGAGCCGCTTTTTCCTATCACTGCACACTGGGTAAACCTGTATGTCAGACACCTGCTGCACACTTTTGCAAAACCCTCTGTTTTCCAAGGCGTGTTGGAGCTGGTAAACTTCTTGCACCATGTCCTTGGGGTGGAGGTGTCTCAGGATGCCATCAGGGCCCCGTGGATCAGAGGTGTGATCCGCAGAGTGAACCAGACGAGACCGCCGCGCAAGCAGGCCCGGCCGCTCAAGGTGTGTGAGCTGGAAGTGCTTGAGCAAGTGTTGAGTTCGGAGAAATCTTGTTTGCAAGACAGGTATGCCGCAGGTGTTTTCTTGTTTGCTACGTACTCCCGAGCCAGGGTGGGAGATTTGAAGTGCATAGGCAAGTGCATCACTGATGTCACCCAGCGACCCGATGGTACTCACTATGGATACATTGAAATGCATAGCTTGTCACACAAGATGCGAGCCACCTCAAACTCGCTTGGTTTGACGATGGCCTTGGTTGCCCCAATCCAAGGCGTAACCTCATCGTGTTGGGGTTTGGCTTTTGTGGCAATTGCAAAGCAGGTTGGCCTCGACCTTGACACCAGTCAGGAGCCGCGAGCGTTGCTACCTTTGCCTGATTGCTCAGGGGCGTGGACCGCATGCCCTGCCAGCAGTGGCGATGTCCAGAGGTGGTTGTGTGGCTTGCTTAGTGAGGCGTGCTCCTTTGACCCCAAAGGAGTTGGGGGGCACAGTCTAAAGGCAACCACCTTGGCTTTCCTTTCCAGGTGGGGGGCAGACAATGACACTCGTCTGATTCTTGGCCACCACAGCATAAAGCACCTAGGCTCACTAGAGTGCTATAGCCGTGACGTTCAAGCACAGCCGTTGAGAGTGCTGGAGAAATGCCTTCTGCAGGTGCGTCAGAGATTGTTTTTCCCAGACGTGTCGCGCTCGGGCCTGATGTGTGAGGCCGGGGAAGCCACCAAGGTCGCAGATTTGCGGAGCTCGAAAGACGCAGCCCCTGGGGCAAACCCTGAACCTTAGACCGACCAAGCCATTGCCGGGGCAGTGGACTCAGAAGAGTGTGTGAGTGATCAGACGTCTGGGGGAGCTGACTCCTCTGAATGCAGCTCCTCCTCTGACTCATCCTCCTCCACGGATGTGGAAGCCTTGGATCGTGCTACAGTAGAAGCTGCCGCCTTCATTTGGAAAGAGGGCCATTCGGTGTTCCAACATAGGAGGACTCGCAAATTGCACCTCCTGCCCCGGGGGAGCAATGACACATTCTCGTGTGGGCGAATCAAGACCGAGGACCGCAAGGAGTTCAACTCAAAGTCTTGGGTGGAGTCGTGGAAGTGCCAGCAATGTGACACAAGCAAGAACATTCGCACGCTGGATCAGATGGTCGACTTTCTTGAAGGCTCCCTCAAGAGGGCTCGGAAGTGAGTGTATCTGGGCTCCTTGGCAAAGGCCCAGATTTTTGTGTCCTTGCAGACCCGGCCTTGGAGGGCCCCCCCCTGACAGGGCCGGAAGGAGTGATTGCAACTTGGAGTGACCTGGAGGAAACGGATGCTGTCACTTGGGCTTGAACCTTGTTGGGGTCTTTGAACGGGCATCAAGAAAAACCCTTTGCGTTCTCCCCACCAAGTGAAATGAGTTGTGCCTGCCTTAACACTTGAGCAGAGTTGGTGAGCAAGAAACCATGCATCTTGCGGGATCTGTATGACAGTGCATGGACTTGCGGGACTTGCAGGATGGCTCACCAGCTCTTGCCGGAAATTAGGATCTCTGATACACGTACTTGCTGGAGAGTGTTTCAGAGCGGTTGCTAGGGCAGGGCAAAATCTTTCTGGAACATGTATGTTTATGTATATCCCAGTTGAACCTCGCTAGGAACATGGCCTCGTTGCTTGAATCGGAAGCGGCCTTGAGAGCGCGGGCTGCAGAACATGGACTGACAAGTGACGAAATCAACGGGCTCATCAGTCAGGGACTGACCACGTTGTCCCGTGTGGCTTTTGCAGTCACAACCCCTGGTGTGAACCCGGATGACGGGGCGCTAAGACGCCTCCTGAATGCAGCAGAGCCTGACCGAGTGAACCTTGGCAGCTTAGCGTGTGTGCGCCGCTTAGTGTTCGAAGCACAGACCATGGCCATCCACCAAGTGCGAAGCAACTTGGAGAACACTGAAGGATCCCAAAAGCCAGAGCTTGTTCCTGCTGAACGTGCTTCTCGCATAAGGGAGCAAGCTAGGCGGCTGAACGGTTACGACCTGAGCGGACCGTTGGAGTGCAGCCACGCATCATACAACATAGTGCTTGACATGTTGCAGAATGATTGTGTGATGTATCCCGCGCCCAACAAATTCACCACGAGGTCCAGTGAGGTAGCCAGAGACAAGCCGCCCAAGGATTTGGTGGTCGACGCGAAGATGAACCTCAAAGTGACTTCGGGCCAGAGAGATGACAGATGTTCCCTAGGGTCTGACCTGCAATTAGCCCAGGCTCTCACGCGTAGAGCGCTAGCTTTTGATTTGGTTGGAGCATGCGCTTTTGCAGTCATGGAGAAGTGGCACCGCTTCTTGTTTGCCCAGATGGCGATCGCACCTCCTGCAAACTACCAAGGCATCACGTTGGAGCAGTTGATCAGAACCGATAAGCATGCTTGGGTACGCATGGCAGAGCTTGTGCAATCCATCAAACGCAAGCCCGATGGATCCAAGCCATTGGACGGGGCCATCAATTTGTTGCCAAATGACCCATCGGTCATGTTCCATCTCATGCCCTTGCCGAGCCATGCAGTCAGAGTGTCGACAGTTGAGAAGCGGAAGGCCGAGCATGAGCCTAACGTGTCCAGGCCAGCCCAGAAGCCCAAAGGAAAAGGGAAAGGCAAAACGAAGACTAATTCTGGGGGCATGCCGCAGGAGTTGCAAGGCATGAAGTCAAACACCACGTCCGGAGAACGCATTTGCTGGAATTACAACATGGCCAAGGGCTGTAAGTTCAGCAAGCCCGGCGGCTCGTGCAAACGTGGAGCTCATGTCTGCATGATCTGTGAGTCACCACATGGCCAGCATGAGCACTCAAATAAGGAAAGATCTTGACAGGCCGGGGGCGCCGCCCTTCAGTGAGCCCACTCGAGCCAGCAATCCTAGAATTCATACCAGCCTTTGCCGAAAGGTCTTCTTAAAGGAAACTCTTCAGGCAAAGCGGACAGCTTTGAGGCCTGAGCCCAAGCAGTCCTGCCAAATGCATGCATCAATCGAGCCCGGCATGTGTGCCAAGGTTCAGGGAGTGAAGTTGTCCTCCCTCTTTTTCTTAGAAATTTTCTCGGGCACAGGTGTCCTTTGTGCCGCCGTTCGTCGGCTGTCCATGCCACACAGTTTCGGAGTCGACTGCGCCATCCATCGCCTCGTAAAGTCTCCCACAGTCAAGCTAGACTTGACTACAGAGGATGGCCAGCAGCTCCTTTGGGAGTTTTTGAGCCATCCGGGGCTCGTAGCAGTTCACATGGGGCCCCCATGTGGCACGTCATCACGTGCGCGTGAGCTTAGGCGTAAGTTCGGTCCAGACCCTAAGCCTTTGCGCAGTGAGCGGTACCCTAATGGGTTAAAGTCCCTTCAAGGCCTGGACAAGTTGCGGGTAGCAGCAGCAAATCGACTCTACCGCCTGACGGGGGAAATTTGGGCCCATTGTCAAAAGTCAGATTTGATCGTTAGCATAGAGAATCCAGCTCGGAGCTTGTTTTGGAGAACCTCCCATTTGCTAGATCCTGTATCTACAGTGTCTAAAGTCAAGTACCACACTTTCCTGCACCATTGCATGTTCGGCAGTGAGCGTAGAAAGCACACCCAGTTGATGCATAACTGGGCACCGCTGAGCCAATTGGGTGTCCTGTGTGACGGCAGCCATGCGCATGCAGCGTGGGGCAGGTTGCAAGGTGTGTGGAGCACGTCGCTGGAGTGTGCTTATCCGCCAGGTTTGTGCACGGCCTGGTCACGCATACTTGTGGAGTCCTTAATCAAGCTAGGAGCCGTGCCACCTGCTGAACAGTTGTCTGGCCTGTGCTTCGATCAGTACGACCTACGACAAGCCCGTGGCAGAGTGAACGTGCAGCCCCGCAACCATCGGCTTCCGCCCTTGGTCCCAGAATTCCGTGAAGTGGTCACTTTGCACGGGCCGCGCGCGGCTATGCCAGCGGGGCCGAAGTTGGAACATCCATGGAGCCTGGACGCCCGTGGCGAGATCACATGTGACCCGCCAAAGCAGGTCTTACCAGCTGGATCCAGGATCATTCGAACTCAGCCTTGCCCGGGGGGTAGTGTCGAGAGTTCGGGGGACAATGCAGAGTGTGTGTCTCCCATGCCTCGTGCTAAAGCTGTTATAGGGATTCCCTGGGAACCCGAAGAATTCATTTCCTTGGCTGCAGGCAGGGGACACCCCAAGTTGTTTCTGGACGGAGTCCCATCTCTCCTCAAACACGCCATCCAGGCGAATGTGGGTGCCTTCCCAGCAAATTTGGCAAAGGATCGTGCGGAGACAATGCGCAGGTGGTTCATCAGGGCCGAACAGCTGAAAGCTGATGAGGCAAACCACAAGGAAAGCTTGTCAGCCCATTGCAAGAAAATCTTGCGCTCGAAACGCCTCTTGGTGTTCTCAGAGATGATTCTAGAGGCGCGTCATCCTGACACGGATTTAGTCCGCCAAATGTCGGTTGGGTTTGACCTCATGGGTAAAATTCCCTCATCCAACTTCTTTCCCAGCAAACCTACCTTTGCCACCCTCATCCCTGACCAGGTGAGGAGACTGGCAGACTCGGCGCGCAAGGCCGTGTGGTATTCGAGCAAGAAAGGGGGGGACGAAGACACGGTCCGTGCAGTGTATGACGCAAGCCGGGAGGAGCTAAGTAAGGGTTGGCTGACCGGTCCCTTCAACCTGTGTGAGCTCCCGCCAGGGGCCTGCCTCACCAGGAGATTCGGAGTGTCCCAAAACTCGGTGGGCGAGGATGGTCGGCCTGTCAAGAAGGTCAGACCGATTGATGATTTCACTGAGTCTTTGATAAACATGACGAACTCCTGCGAGGAATGCATTTGCGTACACTCGGTAGACTTCATAGTTGCTGCCCTTGTGTATCGCATGAACTTGGCGCGTGAAAGTGGGTTGGCTGAGCATTTGCAGATGCGAGCCATCGACCTACGCAAGGCTTACAAACAACTCCCCTTGTCTGCTGAAGCGCTTGGAGACAGCTTCCTTTGCATCCAAAACCCTGACAGCGGGGAGCCAGAGGCGTACCAGTCCACTGTCCTGCCGTTTGGAGCCCGGGCTGCTGTGCATGGTTTTTGCCGCACTTCCTCGGCCCTTTGGAGTGTGGGAGCTTCGTTGCTGAAATTCCATTGGAGTTGTTTCTTTGACGACTTTTTGGTAGTGTCCAGGGAAGCTGAGACTAAGCATTGTGACTTGATCCTTGACTCGTACTTCAGCCTGTTGGGTTGGGAGACCTCCACGGAAAAATCTCGGGGATTCGAAACTTGTGCAAAGGCTCTCAGCGTTCTGATAGACCTTGGAGAGTGCCATCTGTGCTCCCTGGCCTTGGAGAATACGCCTCAGCGCAAGCAAGCCTTGATGAGCTCCATCACGGATCTCCTTGACAAGGGGAAGGCCAGACGTGGTGAGTTGGCCACCCTACGAGGCCGGCTGTTGTTCGCAGAAGGACAGGTCTTCGGCAGAGCAGCCGGGGTTGCAATGCGCACTGTGTCCAGGTATGCCGAAAATCCTCTGCCTTCAAAGGTCACACCTGAGTTGTGCCGTGCCTTGAGCTACTTGAGGGATAGGGTTGTAAATGGGCCCAGGAAGGCCTCCTTGAGGGACCTCTTCCATGTTTACACCGATGCTTGCTTTGATGGGAACGGGTACTCGGGAATTGGTGGAGTGTTGTATGACTCAAAGGGTGTGCCCTTGGCGTTTTTTGCTTCCTCGGCGACCAAGGACATAGTAAGCCTAATCAACAAGGCTGGAAACAAAGTAATAATAGGTGAGCTGGAGTGCCTCGCATCAGTGGCATCGCTTTTTGCATTCTGCGAGTGGATCAGGTGTGCAGAAGTGGTCAGTTTTTGTGACAACGAATCCGTGCTTGCCTCGTTGATTAGCCTGAGCAGTGCCAATGAAGTGGTTTGCCGTCTGGCAAGCCATGCTGCCAAGCTTGAAGAAGACTTGGGCTGTTCGGTGTGGTATGAGCGAGTGGCCAGTCACTCCAATGTTGCCGACAAGCCGTCGCGTGACCCCGAATGGCGAATGCATGGAGCGACTTGTGTCACATCAGACTCAGGGGGAGGTGGCGCGATGTGACTAGCGCAGAACAGACTTGCAGGAAGGCTTTGGCCTACACGTGCAGGAACACCCAAGGGGTGTAGCGAACCTCCCCTTTGAGCTTGGCTGCAAAAGAAAAAAAGAGGTCCGAGATGAATATCAATGAAGATCATAAATCATGAATACATAATTGTCGGAGTTTTTGATATCCTATGTGTATGAGATAAAGAATGAGCCTGTGGCATCCAACAATTTGTGGTCTCACGGTTTGGAGTAATGTCGGGGGTCCCATCCAGCAACCCGTGCTTGAAGGGTCACCATCTGGCACCCCGGTGAAGGTGCCAGATTTGGACCGCGTTTTCAGGTTTTGGTGCGGTTGAATTTGGACGGGTTTTGGTTCTTTTGTGCCTGTGATGCTGCGGGATTGCAGGCGAACCCCATGATGCTGATGTTGCACCTTGGCTCAAGTAGTCAGATAAGGCGGAACTCAGCCGTAGGTTGATGGAGTTTTATCTGACAAACTTGAGCTTAAATTCAAACTGGTTGTTTTGCAAACAAACAGTTTGTGGTGCAACACATGCAGTTGAGAGTTGGACATAGCCGAACACCGTCGTGCTTGTCTCAAACCAGGGTGGTGTGGGTGGGTTAAAATAACCCTGTGCGCTAGTGGATCTTGCTCCCACCCGCCACCCCGCGATGTGACTAGCGCAGAACAGACTTGCAGGAAGGCTTTGGCCTACACGTGCAGGAACACCCAAGGGGTGTAGCGAACCTCCCCTTTGAGCTTGGCTGCAAAAGAAAAAAAGAGGTCCGAGATGAATATCAATGAAGATCATAAATCATGAATACATAATTGTCGGAGTTTTTGATATCCTATGTGTATGAGATAAAGAATGAGCCTGTGGCATCCAACAATTTGTGGTCTCACGGTTTGGAGTAATGTCGGGGGTCCCATCCAGCAACCCGTGCTTGAAGGGTCACCATCTGGCACCCCGGTGAAGGTGCCAGATTTGGACCGCGTTTTCAGGTTTTGGTGCGGTTGAATTTGGACGGGTTTTGGCTCTTTTGTGCCTGTGATGCTGCGGGGTTGCAGGCGAACCTTATGATGCTGATGTTGCACCTTGGCTCAAGTAGTCAGATAAGTCCTTCTTCAGCGTCTGGATGCCCCGGTCCACCACGGCAATGGCGTTGCGGTCCTCGGGCCGCTTCGTCCGGTGCACGGCTTCCGCGGGCAGCTCCCTGTCCAGCGTGGCGAACTCGTTGCCCAGGTCCGTCGTGACCACGAAGTTCCCGTCGTCCCCCGTCAGCTCCCGCGCGGCGCGCTTGGTGGCGCGGCCCACCGTCTCGGCGTTCTTGTTCTGCAGAGGTTCCACGGCGGCCTCCCGGGTGAAGACGTCCATCACCACCAGGCCGTACTTCGTCTTCCCCCGCGTGTTCTGGCTGAAGTCGATGAGGTCGGCCTGCAGCCGGTCGTTCGGCCCCTCGGCGGCCGACTTGCCCAGCGCGCGCGGCCGGGGCGCCTGCACCTGCCGGCCCACGTCGGCCTTCAGCGCCTCGAAGGCCATGGCCTGCGTCACGTCGAGGTCGCGCTGCCGTGCAAGTCGGTACAGCTTCCGCGGGTCCCGCGCCCCTCAGCGCCTCCATTTATAGAACGAGGAGAACGAGGAGCCTGCTCACACAGCTACTTGTTCTTCGGGCCCCCGTTCCACCTTGTCCAGCCGGGCCTGGAAGCCCTTGCACACCCCCCACAGCACGCTGGTGAGGTGAGAGTAGTCGAGAGTAAGAGAGTAACCATCTCCGTGCCGTCACTCCACCGGGCGGTGCCCGTCAAATTCTTCCACTTTGTTCCTGCGAAGTCGTCCGAGGCGAAGCCCAGCCCAGGTCCTCGTTCATGTCCGGGCGCTTGTACTGCTTGGCCTCCACGGAGTCAAAGAGCTGCTTGAGCTCCGCCACGTCGGCCTCGGCCATCTCCGTCTTCACCCGGCTGTCCGACAAATTCGTGAAGCTCGTGTTGCAGACCACGTTGCCCGTGTTGCCCGCGATCACGAGGCAGCCGGGGTTCCTCTGGTTCGTGGTCAGGGACAGCTGCGTGGAGAGGCTCTTGGTCTGCACCAGCGCCTCGTCGTTGATCATGATGAGCTCGCACTGGTGCGCCCCGCCGTCCCGCTCCAGGAAGACCCGCGCGCTCTGGTTGCCCAGCAGCCGCAGCTCCGGGCCGCTGTCGGGGCCGCGCTGTTGTTGGACACTTGCAGCTTGCTCCAGCCCGCCCAGTTCTTCGTCAGGAAGAGATCGTCCGAGAAGTCTGAGGTGTTGGTCACGGTGAGCGTGTTGGAGGCGAAGAGCTGCGGCGCGGAGACCGTGCCCGAGCTCGTCACGTCGCCGCACACCACGCTGCCCGTCGACACTCCGCCGCTCGTGGCCGTGAAGGTGCAGTCCAGGCTCTCGCAGTCCAGCGGGCCCGCGGAGGCTGCCCCGGTGATGGTCAGCGTGGCGCCCGTGAGCGCACCGGTGGCTGCGAAGCTCGCCGCCGTCGCTGCGCCCGAGGCCGTCAGTGTCCCCGTGGACACGTCGCCCAGCGTGGTGAAGTTCCCGGCGTTGGCCGTGTTGTTGATGGTGAGTGTGCTGCCCGTGATTCCTGTGGCGGAGCTCAGCAGGCCCACGCTGGCCGCGCCGGTGATGCTCAGCGAGCTGCCTGACACGGCCCCTGTGGACGTCAGCGTGGCCCCGGCGACGGCGCCTGTGGCTGTGAGCGCAGCGCAGGAGACTGCGCCCGAGGCGTCCACGCCCGTGGTGAACACGTCGGTGCAGTTCACGTCGTTGCACAGCAGCTGGTCGCAGCCCACGTTGCCCTGCGCGGTGAGCCCGTCCAGCGTGGCCGAGCCCGTGAGGGCCAGCGAGTCCGCCAGCAGGTCCGTTACTGAGACAGACTCTCCCTCGAAGGCGCTGGCCCTGATCTGCATGCTGTACAGGTCCAGCGTGCCCGCCGACTGCTGCACCAGCCCGGGGATAGACCCGCCGAAGGCTCCGAAGTGCAGCTTCGCGATTCCGCCCGGCGGCACCGAGAAGTCCAGGCGCGCCGTGCTCCAGACGCCCTGCGAGGGCGTGCCGAGGAAGGTGCCGGTGACGCCCACGTAGTCGTTGTCGGCCGCGCTGACGTACATCACCAAGTTGGAGGCCGTGCCCAGCCGGTACCGGCAGCCGAAGGAGTAGCGTCTCCCCGGCGTCAGCGTGTAGGTGCGCACGATGTTCCAGGCGAAGGCGCTCAGGGTCATGGCGTAGCCCTCCAGCTGGAAGCCTCCCACCGTGAAGCTGGCCGAGGCCACGGAGCTCTGGCTGTTGGAGCGCACCAGGAAATTTCCTAGCGTGGTGAGCGTGGGTTCCAGCAGCACCTCGCCCAGGGTGGCCAGCGTGACGTCGTCGGCCCCTCCGTCGAGGAACTTGTGCTTCAGCAGCAGTGCCGAGGCCGCCGTGTCCTCCTCCTCCGTGTTGCCGGTCTCCAGGGTTGCGTCCAGGATCTGGAGGCCGTAGACGTCCACCGTTCCTGCCGTCTGGTTGGGCAGGCCCGGCGCCTGGAAGTGCGCCCCGAAGTGCAGCTTCGCCACTCCGTTTGGCGGCACGGTGAAGTACATCTTGGCCGTGCTCCAGGCGCCCTGGTCGCCCACGAAGCTGCCGTACAATGGGTCGTAGACGTTGTCGGCCTCTGACATGTACACCACGAAGTTGGAGGCCGTGCCGAGCCGGTCTCTCGGCCGGGCGTCAAGTTGTAGGTGCGCACAATGTTCCACGGGTTCGCCGCCAGGGTCAGGGTGTAGCCGTCCACACTTACTCCCGCGGTGTGCGTGGCCAGGACCACGCTGCAGCCGCTGCTGGGGCGAACCGTCCAGTTTGACAGTGAGACGTCCGTGGGGCCCAGGATCTGCTCTCCTATGGCGGCCACCACCTCGTCTCCGTCGTCCGGAAAGCGCACTGCTATTTGCAGGGCCGAGGCTGCCTCCGTGACTCCGAGCTTGCCCGCAAGGAGGCCGTCTACTTGTGCGATGGTGTAGTAGCTGAGCAGCGCGGCTGCGATGCTCGAGGCCGTTGCCGTGTCCTGGTCTGCGGCTGAGCGGTACGCCACCAGCGCCGAGGTGATTTGGTTGGTCGTGAAGACGTCCTGGTCCGGGCCCGTCCGGTAGGCCAGCAGCGCGCCCGCGATGGCGGCCTGCGTCTGCGTGTCCTGCGCGCTCGCCGTGCGGTAGTCTCCCAACAGCGCGTCTACCTGCGCCGAGGTGTAGTAGGCCAGCAGCGCGGCTGTGATGGCGCTGGTCGTCTCCGCGTCCTGCGCCGTTCCGGTTCGGTAGTCTCCCAACAGAGTGTCCACTTGTGAGGAGGTGTAGTAGGCCAGCAAGGCTGCTGTTATGGCAGCGTCCGCCGCTGCGACGGAGTAGCAGTCTGCCGTGATGCTCAGCGTGTCGTCGCCGTTGGCCAGGGCAGCAGAGAGAGGAGCCATGAAGTGCAGGTTGCGAACGACGTTGCGTCCGCGAAGGAGCTCCCAAGTTGTGAAGCCCGCCCAGGCCGGCGCGTTAACAACTCCGCTGCCGGAAAGCTGCAGGGCGGCGAGCTCCGCGAGGCTGGAGCGTGGTCTCGCTGGCTGAGAGCGCGGCGTTCGTGGCGTATGAGGGCCTTGGCCCCCTGGAGCGCCGTGATGCTGGCGTCCCGGCTAGCAAGCTGCGCTGCGACGAAGGCCTCGGTGGCGAGACCCAGCAGGGCATTTGCTATCTTGGTGTCTACCTCCAGTGGAGTGTCCAGTCCGTCCAGGATGCAGTCCCACGCCTGCTCCAGGTCGCAGTGCGTCCGCCGCTGTTTGAGAGGCGGAGAGTCGGTTGCGCAGCCCATCAGCGGGAAGAGCTCCGGCAGCTGCTTGTGGGTGCAGGCCCCGTCGATCATGCTGGCCAGGCTCGTGGGGAAGACGTTCATGCTGTCCACGAACCTCAGCGGGCCCCAGCTCATCTGCAGCGCAGGCACTTCTCGCCCGACTTGCAGAGGACTTGGAGGCAGAGGTGGCTGTAGTTGCCCTGCTTGATCGCGGCCTGCAGGGCGCACCAGCCGGTGAGGGGCCTTGGCGCGGCCTTGGCCCTGTTCTTGGGCGCGGCCTTTGGCGCAGCCTTGGCCATGGGCATGGGCCTCTCGGACTCGCTTCCTTCTGCCTCGCTCTCGGTGCCCTCGTTGTCGCTGTCCTCGCCAAGCTCTTCGCGCGGTGCCCTGCTGACAGGAGAGCCCATCGTGGCGATGTAGCGCAGCAGGAAGTGGAAGTCGTTGCCGCCCCCGTTGTGAAAGACCACTGGGATGGTCTTGGGCGTCTGGGCCGCGATGTTGCAGGAGTGGCACAGCGCCCCGAGATACTGCCCGGTGCCGTGGCAGTGGTGGAGCTTCTTCTCAGGCGGTCTCGAAGGACGCGAGGCACTCCCTGCAGTGAGTGGCGGCCCTGTGCTCCAGCTCCTCCCTCCGGGTCATGCTGACGGGCCGAGTTCGGCGTCTCCAGGTGAGGTAGTGGTCGGCCAGCTTGAGAAGGTCGTTCAGCATGGCGCGGACGGCGTGGTACTTGTCGCTGTCCCGCTCGTGGTGCGTGAGCCTCAGCCTCAGCTCCTCGGGTGGCACGTAGCCGCAGCGCCCGACAGCGACGTAGCAGGAAGAAGCCGCGACGGTCTGGCGCGCGGGGCGGGCGTGCTGTAGACCTCGAGGTCCGCGTAGCACGTCAGGGGCGCGAGCTCTGCGGAGGCCTTGCCCC